AAAATGAATAAGAGTTTTAAAAAAATGGAACGACCAAAATAAAGGAGAAGAAAAATTTGATACTCTGTATATACAAATTGTGGGGAATTTTTAGAGAAAAAGGCCAAAAGATCTTTGGTAGGGTGTAGTGGAGTACCTCATATGCTAAAAACAAAACAATGGGTTTCCTATTTAATTATATTGTAGCTAATAATTATAATAGGGGAAAAAAGTTAAAGTAGAATAAAACATTGAAATATATCCAAATAGGAGTTTCATTTTTTTTTTGAAATAAGAGTCTAAATACATTTACATTATCTGTCATTACCATATTCATTACCAAAAAGTATAGTATAATGTTCATGTAAGATGCGACATTACCACAGTGCGAACTCCTATTTTGGTATTTTCTCTATGTTCTACTTCTATTTTGGCTGATTTCTTTTATTATATTATTAGACTAGTTACAACGAGTATTTACTGGGTGATTTTATTTTTAATTACTTGATTTTTTTTCATTTCCATAAAGGGATAATGGAATATGTAATGTTACTCGCAAAAAACACGAGTAATAAAATGACACATATTTTTGCAAAAAGAAGAAAGCATTGAGGACCACACTATATATATAGTCTCAGGACCACCCTTGCATGCTTCCATTCATTTCATTCACACAAAAACGTAATTATATATATACATGCTCCATATATAATTGAGTGTATTATAATTATTGCATTGCTAAACATTGCAATTTACATTTATTGAATGCTATACAACTAATCAAAACCCCTTAACTGCATTGCTAAACATAAGAATTATTTTTATATCCTATCCACCCACCACACTCTTGTACTCCGTAGAATATAATGTAGATAAATCTAATATCATATTCCTTCCGTTCCGTAAAACCGTTCTTATTTTGACTTTGGTCAGATTTATTTTCATAATTTGACTTCTTAATTATTATATCCCTAACGTTGGAGAAAAAAAGAGAGAGAAATCATTTAAATAACTTGTTATATCAATGCAAAAAGAATGTATCGTAGTAAATTGCAACGACGTACTTTATTTGAATATATATTAGTCATTTTTTGTTAAAGTGGAAGTGTTTTTATTGCAAACGAAAAAATAAAAGAAAATTTGTTTTGAACACTCTCAAGATAAAAAAAGAATATTCCGTAACATATAAAAATGTAAGATACTCATCTGGCATTGTGAAATGCTCATACAGTGGCAACAGTGCCACATTAATTATGACAATGCTACTCTTATTTTGAAAATAAAAACATACGGTTCATCTTTTGATAATTTTTCTATATGTTAATCCTATTTAATTTTAGGCGATTTCATTAATTCTTTGTTACTAGTAAAAAAAGTCTGAGTTTGTTTTAAAAAAATCAAGCAAATGAAAAATTCAAGCAAATAAACCCAAGTTGTAGCAACAAAAGACAATGAAAAATATCAAATTAAATAGAAGTAACACCTTCTTTGTGTTTTAAATAGGATTTCAGATTGTCACTGTTTTCTCACTCTATACTGTTACAAGAGCGCCGCCGCCAGTTCACAATGTTAATCGCACAACCACCATTTACAGTGTTATATTGTTATCACTCTGTCATCATGCGTCCTGTTAAACTTCTATTTAGAAGATAGAAACAATGTTAATCTTATTTTGAAATTTTGATGATATTTTTTACTTTAATCTATGGGCCGGGTGTTTCTTTTAAAATAATCAATCAAAAAGACTACAAGTGTATGCATATGAACAAAAATTAAATGATGCAAACAAATTAAAAAATAAAAAAATAACAAGACAAATTAACATTGAAATATTTGCACTAAATAGCATTAAAACTTAAGTCATTTCCCTAAATAGCACTTAAATTGTTTTATTCTCTAAATAGCACTTCATAATGTCCATAATGTCCTGTGATGACAAATATTTACTTGAATAATGACTAATGCATAATGACTAAAAATGCTACATTGGGAGGAAAAACACATGTAATGTTATTTAGAAAAAGTTATTATGTTTTAATGCTATTTAAATAATTTCTCATTAACATTTGGGTCCAGCAAATACATACAAGTCGTACGAGGATTATATATATGTTCGTACGTCGTGGTGATCAGATATATTAAGATGAGTTGGATATCTTTAACATTATCGTTTGCGCCAACCACACACTCCCTACTATCTTACGATCCTTTCAAATATATAGTCTCACTAAAGAAATATTTTTATTTAAAATTTTTTATAAAATTAAAGTACTTATTACATACTCTCTCCGTTTCAAAGTAATAATTTACCCTTTTATTATTACTGTCTCTCGATAAGATTCATTTGCTTACGTATTTTTAATTGATCATTTCATAAAACAAAATATTCTTGTCACATATTTTTTTGTAAAACTTTAGTGTATTTTTTAAGAAATATTTGCACTAAATAGCATTAAAACTTAAGTCATTTCTCTAAATAACACTTAAATTGTTTTATTCCCTAAATAGCACTTAATAATGTCCATAATGACCAGTGATGGCAAACATTTACTTGAATAATGACTAATGGATAATGACTAAAAGTGCTACATTGGGAAAAAAACTCTTGTAGTGCTATTTAGGGAAAGTCATTATGTTTAAGTGTCATTTATGTAAAATCCTCTTTTTTTAAATATATAAGTTTCATTTTTTTTACTTCTATACCAATTTATAAATAAAATTACCTTAAAAATTATAGGATTTTGCATGTTGTTTAGATAACGAATAATATCTTTTTGAGACAGGTTGAGTATTCCAAAATTAAATAAAAAAATTTATAAAACAAAATGTGTAAAAAAATTTATATTTTATTTTATCTAATAATCAATGTAAATACTCCGTAAATATTATAAAAAGACCAAAATAGTAACTAGTAAGTGAGACAATATTTTGGGACGGAAAAAACAAACACGAATAGGACTATATGGAAATATACACAGGGATATTTTTAACACTGGACCATTTTATAAAACTACTCATGAAATAATATTCCATATTTTTTTTAATACTAATAACTCTAATATGAATTCAGAATATACTTCCTAGTTGTTAAGTTATACGGAGTAATAATAAATTAAAATACCAAAACCTACAATCAGACTTTAGAGTTTTTGATTGATTTAGTTTTTAATTGACATGTATAATATCAAAGTCTTGACGATAAATAAATCACAATTTTAAAATCTCAAACTCACCAAACTTCAAAAATGTACTCCTTATTTCTTAATATTCACATGCAAAATTCAAACAAAACCAAATATTGTCAGGAGGAGACATTAGTTTAAACGTTAAGGTGTATATAAAAAAATGTTTTCTCTCGGGCCTTTACATATGAAAGGGCATGGATGCCCTCCGCTAAATTAATGACATTTGGATACAATCTTAGGATCCGTTTGTTTGAGGAAAAATATTTTATTAAAAAATTTTATTTCTAATTTTCTTTATTTGATAACATAAGTGGTAAGAAAATATTTTTTGAGAAAATATTTTCCGTCGAAGATAGAAGATACTTTTCAAAAAAAATGATAGAAATAATTTTCAGAAAAAATATATTCTCTTTATTATTTCCTACTCAGTACTCGAGTCTCCTTATTTCACAAAGTATAAAGATCATACATGCGTGGATGATTTTACCATCTCCTTCTAGAATTTTTATATATTATTATTCCTGTATATTTATATTTTTTTAGTTTTTTTACTATTTGTTTTATAAATAACTTTTTTATTTTTATTTATTTTTTAGGCCATGGAAAATAAAAACTTTGTTGTTGAGCCAAGTGAGTATAGACTTTTTTTAAAGAAAAAAATTGCAAAAATACTCGTATTGAAATTTTAAAGTTACGCAGTTGACTGCACTGCACCCAAGTTGACCGGACCTGATGAAATCTGTGGAATGCCGTACCATGAAAAAGACTTGACTTTGGATAGAGAGGGGTAAGATGGACATTTCGCAGTAGAATTCATTGTCCCCAAGGATTCCTTCGGGACTTGTTATGTGACCGCATTGGCATCATCCATCCCCTCTTTTATTCCTTAGACATTAGGATTTCACTCTAGAAAGTCTAGATAGACCAAAAGCTTTTTTGGGTACTAATTTGTAGTCATCTTTATTAAAATCAAACTAGATTCTACGCAGTAATTTTGGGGTAATACTTATTTTTACACGTTTTTTCAAATTTCATTTATAAAATGAGTAGAAAAATGATGTTTGGGACTAACCCGCTCTCTCATGTTTCGTGAAGATGAAAAACACGCGTTAATCAATGTGTGATTGTATTGGCAAAACAATAAAGAAAAATTAACAGAAACACGGATTCTAAAAAAAGAAGCCATCGGGGCATGAAGTCTTTAAAAAATGTGGTATTTGTGTAATATGTCAAATTTTCTTGAAACATTTTCTCTTTGTACTCGTGCCAAAAGAGTTACAGGGGTGCATATCCCTCTGCGAGAAGTTAAAATCCGATTGAACTCTACCACTATATGTCAAAAGATGATTACAATTATCAACATGAATTAATAGTATCAAGTGTGTCTTTACAATCACTCTCTAGAATGACATGCTCCAACCCTCACATTATCATTGGTTCAAAGAATTTTGAAAAATAAAAATAAAAAAAATCATTTTATCATTTCCTAGCCAAATTAGAAGGAATTTTATTTCACATTCTCTTATATTACTCACTCAGATCCGTTTCAAAAAAGAGTTTCATCCTAAATTTTTGTTCAACCTACAAAATATTTCTATCCTATCTAAAATATCCTTAGAACTATTTCTAGCTATTATAAAGAAAAGGTATTCATGAGAATTTTAGGTGTGGACCCGAATTTTGAGTGAATATACTTCTACTTTGCATTCTCTCTCTAAACTTTATACAACTTAATATCTCCGGTGGTTTATGGCCATCACAAAGATAGTGTTAGTTTGTATCCAACTCAAAGCTCTTTCATCCTCATTGGGGAACAAGCATAGATGAGAACTCTGTTTAAGACATAATGTTTCATTTAAAATGCCAAAGCAGATTAATATGTGATTTCCACCATAAATGAAATGAATTAGTCATAAAACACACACACAACTTTCCTACACAAAAGATCTCTCCAAAATCATGTAAAGAATCACTACTAAACTCAACTACACATAACTTCATCCATCAACTCATGGTGATCACCATCCTCACTAGTGCAGCAGCAGCAAAACACTTGAGCATCTTTCTCTTCCTCACTTGCCAAATCTCCTCTCTCAAGCTTGGCTTGAGCAGCAATGAAGATCATTCTCTGGGCCCGGTCCCACCCCACCCTCGAATGCCGACACCCCAACCGCATGAACGACCAGTTGCACTTGACCCCGCCCGATGTCGCGTGGAGGAACAGAAGCCTCCCCGCGACCCGGCCCAGGGGCTGAAACTCGTTCAAACACGTTTCCCAAACTACCCTGCTGCTCTGAGGGTTTGCGGCCCTCATTCTCCCCGTCACCGGGTCCCGCTGCTTCACCTGGACCGCCCGGGCGTAGAGTGGGTCCAGGCCTTCGGACCGCCACCTCGCCAGCTCCGCCAGCGCGGCGGGCCCGTCCTCCTTCGGGACGAGCCGCACCACGAGGGCCTCCACGTCCTTCTCCTGCTCCCGCGACAGGCACTTGAAGGGCGGGAGGTACTTCCCGGACGGCGGGTCCCGCATCAAGTACAACGGGTCGAGCACGAACGCCGCGGCCCACGCCGGGCGATAAATCTTCCGAAAACGCCCCTCGACTATCTTCTCCACCTGCTCGTCCCCGACGTTGAATTTCGCGGACCAGTCTTTGATCCGCGACCTCAACGCCTGCCACAGGGGGAGGCAGTGCCCGACCAACGGCCTCTCGGCTTCGACATCTTTCGCCATTTCCCTTATGATCTTCACAAGAGAATGAACACCTTCCACCTGATTCCAAAACCCAACATCTTGAACCATGTCTGCAACATCTCTAGCAACAGGATTCTCCAAGCAAACTGCCCTAAATGGGTCCTCCAAGGAAATCATCTGAAGAACCCTAGCATTCCCCCTAACATCCTCCAACATAGATATAAAAGACCCAAGATTTTTACACATATTGCAGTGAGGGGAAGAAGGAACCCTAATCAACCCATTGAGGTCCACAACACCATGAGGCCTGAACCTGTTGAAAAGATTAGCAATCCTGAAGCAGTTATCAGTCACAGCTCTGAACAATGGGAGCTCCCTGCTGAAATCTTTGATCAGACTCAAGAACCCTTGGAAGAGACAGGGGAGATTCACCATCCAGTTGTTCTTCGTCTCTAAACTCCTCAAAGCCTTTGATTTATACTTGTCCGCAACCATCCCCACACATCTGGTGACGACATTGTTGTTGCTCTGCCCACCCCCGCCGCCGCCGCATATCCCTTCGACCGTCTCCCAGAAAACTTCCTCGGCGTACTGAGAAGGAACCGCGCCGCCTTTGAAAACCGCCTTGTGGAAGACACGTGAGCCGTTGGGGAGGTTGACGGTGAACTTAATCACACTGTCTTCTCCGTAGCCAAAGCTGTCTTTTTTCCATCCGTCCGAAGCGATTTGGAAAAATGGGGCATCTTTGATTCTGGCTTCGGATACCATTCTTGCTTGTTCGAATTTCGAGTCGAGAATCGGGCCGGAAAATTGCTTCTTGGACACCGGGGGCAATCCTACCTGGTTCAAGAAAGCTTTGAACTTGGGATGCTCGAGACTGGAAAAGGAGACGGAGCCGCAAGATTCGTAGAACCATTCGGAAAGAAGATTGAAAGCTGAATCGATTTGGTCCTTTTTCAGGGACGGGCCGGGGGAAAGCTTCGGGCTTTTCAGCTTCTTCACGCTGTCTTCGAGCATTGCTAAGGCGCCCAAATCTTCTTTCCCGCCGGACAAGACGAGATTGGGAGTGTGGGGTTGTGGGCAGTCGAGAAACCCGACAACAGGGCAGGAGCTGGAAGAAGCCATGGCCGCCGCCGGAGCTTGCTTGGAGCTCCGTTTCCGGTGGTTCTGCGAGGTGGGGGAAGATAAAGGGGGCAATTGAGAAACGGGTCTCATCACGGAGGTGGAATTCGGGCAGGTCCCGCTCTTGAGATGCTCCGTGGCGGTGCGAGACGGGTTGGAAGCGGAGAAGGCGGTGTCGCAGAGGTTGCACTTGAGCTTCACGGATTTGGGGAGGTTGGTTTCCGGGTTTCGAATCAGAATTGGCTCAAGGTGAGCCCAGTACCAAGCCCCTTTCCCTTTAACCGCCTTCTTACGAATCCCAACCAGGCTCTCGTACCGCTTGCTCACCCGGTCTTCCTCCGCCATTGTCTACGCCGGAGAAGAAATAGTCAAGAAAAGACAAACCCAGACCTTTTCTGGTTTCGATTCTTCTGTTTTCGCTCCTCCAGTGCTGGTTAATCTAGGAAACGGCTACCCGGCGCTGGATAGGTTCCACGCCGGAGCATCGCCGGGAAAAATGGCCTGCATGGGATGCCAATGATTGAGCCTGCCAAGTGTTCGAAGAATAGCTTAGCAGAGGAAAAAAAGCGAAGGGAAATTACAGGCTTTCAAAGAGAGAAAGGATAAAGTTAATGGGAGGAGGAGGAAGACGAAAGGGTGAAAGTGAGCAGAAGTGAGAAAACAAGTGTTTGTGTGTGTGTATGTGTGGGGTGGGGGGATGATGATGATGAGGAAGGGGGGAGTGAGGGCGGAGCACGTGGTGATGACGGCGCGTGTGGAGAATCTCCGAAACGGAGTCCCACTTTTGTCAGCAAGCCACACACACACAAATACACATGTTAAAATGTTAAATACTCCCCGTACTCCCTAATCTCAACCAAATTGACACCTTAAATTGTCAGATTTACCCTTTGTTTATTTGATGAGAAATAGTTAGATTTACCCTTTGTTGATTTGATGAGAAAATGATAAGAAAGATAAAGGGAAATGAGAAAATACCCATTGCAATAAAAAAATTTGTTTAGACGAGAAAAGAAAAAATTGTGAGGAATCGTACCAAAGTTTTCTCATCAACGAGGATGAGACAATGTACCATAGGAAAAAATTATTATCAAAATTATAAAATTGTCGTTTTTTTATCTTTTCTCCCTCCACTTTCCTATTAGGGAGTATTTTCTTATCATTCAAACAATATTTTTTTTTTTTCAGTTTCTCTCTATTTTTTCTTATTGTCATTTTCTTTCTCATTATTTTCTTTTCTTATCCAAACAAAGGCTTAAGTTATGTACTTCCTATTTTAATGAGTTAAGTTTATCTCTGTTAAATATATCAACTATTTAATATATTTAATATTATATATTATAATTATGGTTGTTACCTATTATAGTTAGAGTTATTATGATATAATATTACCTTATATAATTAGTCATTAATGTGGAGGATTCTAGAATATATTCCTCCACCTATAAATATATGTTTTGTATTCCTCTTCTATTCATTCAAGAAATAAAGCATTATTTGTTATTTTACATGGTATCAGAGCCACCGTTCTTGGTAACCTAAATTTCTCTGCTTTCGCTTCTGGCGGGCGGCACCACCATTAACTGCCGCCTGCCGGATCACTGTTTTCTTCTTACCCAAATTCTTCCATTATACAAAAAAAAAATCTCTGTTATAGTCACCGGCGTCTCTAACGTCATCCTCTTCTTCTAATCGCCGCAGCTCTGACCGGCGACCCCTACTCCACCAAACTACCGGCCTCTCTTAGCGCCAAAATCGCACCTGTTCACTCGAGAGTAACATGAGGCATAGGTTCACTTTGCCTTTGAAAGGGGTGTCCTTGGTGTCATCGGTGTTCTAGGAACTATCAAGATGCCTTATCCCTCTAGAGCCTCTGATTTGGCTCATTGATCAGAAATCCTTCTCCTCCAATCACCCTTCAATCCCTATTTTTTTCGATCTCTCACAACTCATATCATCACCTCAACCTGCTTCGTGGATAGATCTTCGGTCAACATGCATCTCCGGCAGTACCTCATTCCTTATGTTTCTTCTCTAACCCTGTCGCGCACGACTCCAGTGCGCGTCAACCTTCTCCCTCTTTCGACGTCAGCAGCATGAGTCTGTTCGCAGCGGCTTTTCTCCTCTCCTCATCAGCGTCTTCACATCTCTTTCCTGGAAATCTTTATCCTTCTCTTCTAGGCCGGATGCATTCAATCTACTCTAGCCGAAGATATGCTTCCAACTTCTGATTACAATTCTGGTCACGATTCAAGTAAAGTTGGCGTTCAATCTTCACCGTTCAGGACGTTGGGAGCATGTTAAATATATCAACTATTTAATATATTTAATATTATATATTATAATTATGGTTGTTACCTATTATAGTTAGAGTTATTATTATATAATATTACCTTATATAATTAGTCATTAATGTGGAGGATTCTAGAATATATTCCTCCACCTATAAATATATGCTTTGTATTCCTCTTCTATTCAATCAAGAAATAAAACATTATTTGTTATTTCACAATCTCAAATAATACATTGTCCACTTTTAATTATACTCCATATTTCTCTTTTTGATTTGATGTGAAAAGTGATGTGTAACTAAGCATTTTGATGTGCTCTAATCCTACTCTTTCACCATTCCTTTAAAAAAAAGTAAGAGATCGACAAAAATAACTTTTTTGTCTAATTACATTTTTGCTTCATTTTACCAATTCAAACCATATATTTTTCCTCTCCCTTTCTCTTCATTTTCTCCACTTCTTTTTTTTTAATCCAAACAAAGACTTTTTTTTTCTTGAAACCATCCAAGCAAAGACTTAATTGTTGTGGTAATTAAATTAAGGGAGGTAGGATTTGGATGTGGGACCCATTCAGATTTTTAAGGGTTTACCAACGGAAATGGATTACTCCATTCTGGTCAACTGGTCAGCCGCACTTGCTAATTGGTCAGTGGAAATCATACTCCGTAACATACTAATAATTCCTCCTTTCACAGTTAATTACGGAGTACGAAGCATAACTAGGAGTATCTATTACACCCTACTCTGTAACATAGGTCTTTTTTGTATTTTAAAATAATTAATTTTTATTTTTTTTAATTCTACTTAGTTTTACATACTTCCTCCGTCTCACTATATTTGTCCACTTTCATTTTTGCACATCATCCAATACACTTCTTTAATCCATTTTATCTTGTAATTTGTATATTAAAATTTATAGAAATTATATATTAATAATCTATATGTTAAGACAAATCAAACAAGATCACGGATGACTATATTTAGGCTTACACATTGAGAGAATTTGATGAGTCAAAGTGCTTAGATAAACAGTTCCAAAAGTTAAAAGTGGACGAATATAGTGGGACAGAGGAAGTAAAAATGAGATGGAGGGAATATGTGGGTTAAAGCCAATTAAAGAGTTTTACTTCAGAAACACCACAATATTTGTTTCAACCATGTTAGGGTACACCAAAAAGTGTATCTCAAATTGTATACAAAATGGTTGTAACATCATTTTAACGGTTCACATTGACACAAAATATCAGTTAAACTAAAAAAAAATTGCACTAATATTTTGTGTCATTGTAAACTACATTAAGCTAGCATAGAATATTAATGTATGTTTTCGTGATATCAAGTGGGGTGCAATTTTTTGGTACACATAGTTTGATTTTTTTTCTGCAAGCAAGTTAATGCGTTCTCGGTGTTGTACAAAAATGAAAATGAACCTATCTCATCATTAGGATGCATTATTATTAATTAATGACAATAATAACGTCTTTTTCCATCTCTTTTCCCTTCCCAAACCCAACGGCTATTCTTGGTTTCTTGTGATCTTTTCAACTAGCCTACAAATAAAATGATCACAAACATCATAAATTTTTTATTTGTAATTTCAAATTCTCATTTTCAAACCTATTTAAATTATTGAATTCACAAATACCACATTTTGAAATTGGTGACAATTACTCCGTATTTTTGTGAACATAACATTTCTCAATGTCTATTTTCTGCCAATTTTTAACTCATTTTTTGTTCATCATTGTAATTATTACTCCCTAACTCACTGTCAAGATTAAAGTTTGATGGCACTCTCTACTGCAACATTACATCAAATAATACAATTGAGGGACCCTATTGGTAATGTATACTTAGTACTTACCATAGCGACCAATTTTTTAACTCATTTTTTTCATTTATTTTTAATATTTTTCAACGTTCAATTTTGTTTTTAACTCTAAAAGACAATTTTTTTAAGAGAACACATTTTAAAATCACGTTTGCTTGATTTATTTTTTACTAAAGTCTTGAACCAGATAACTCGTAATTGAAACAAATTAAATACGGAGTAATCATAATCAACATCTAATAATCCATTCCAAAATGTTACGCCGTCCAAAAAAGAATATTTGATAGAATTATAAAGAAAAGATTGTGAAAAATGTGTAAAAGATATGTTTGTTTTGATTGAATTTATAATTTTTTTTAAAATTTAAATTTTTGTGTGATTAATGGCTAAAAGAGCTGTTGGGGGTGGGGGAAGACGCGTCAAATGTTTAAAGCATTGAAGCTGACGTCCCATAACGCCGCCAGGGGTGGAGTTTAAGAGCACTGGTAATGGTCATGAAGCCCCGGGGCTTCAAACCGGGGCTTCAAACTTTCTCTCTCTGCCACGTCAGCTTTAACTTACACCAAAAATTCACTGGAAATGGTTTTGAAGCTCCGGGGCTTCAAACTGGGGCTTCAAACCTCCATTTTTTACATTTTTAAATATACATCTTATAAATTTAAATTATTAAATTTTAATTAATTTATTATTTAAATTAATCAAAAGGAGATTAGTATATTAAAAAAAATTACATTCATTAAAAAAATATTACATTCATAGAAGAATACATTCATAAAAAAGTTTCATTCATTAAAAAATATCACATCCATAAAAAAATAACACTACAAAGAAATTACTAATTATTCAAGCAACTAAAAATATCTTCATTCAAATTCGAGTTGTAGTAAAATATTGCAAATTGAAATAATTCATCAAATAAAAAATACAGTCAATAAAAAAAGTATATTAAATTTAATAAAAAAACAAAACAAAATTACATTACTAAAAAAATTTGAACAAAAAAATATTACATTAAACAAAAAAATATAGAGTAAAAAAATTATGTTTGTGTATATTTTTTTTAAGGGAGAGTGGGGAGGGGGGGAAGGGTTTGAAGCCCGTTAAACGTTTGAAGTAGAAGAGATGAAGTCCGGATGAAGCCCCAGGGGGGCGGTGTTTAACGCTCCCTGGGCTTCAAAAGTAGCATAACGCCGAGTGGCGTTATATGTATTACGAGTGCTCTAAGGCCCAAATAAAGGGCGTCAAACGGCGGTTGACCCCATTTCCATTGCTCAAATAGCCCGCCCTTTCACGGGAATGGGAGTGTGTGGACAGGTGTAGTAATAATAATAAGCTTTGGGTACGGGGAAGAGGAGGACGACGTGAGAGAGGCGAAGTTTTTGCCCAAATGGGAGCAACCAATATTCACCCCAACTTTGGTGATGGATAATTTTATCAATTTCGGGTTGATTTCAATTCATTTCATCATCATCATTCATCACCATCATCATCCATATTTCACCTAAATTAATTTATTACTCTTTTTATTAGTTTGAGTTATTTTCTCCTTATTTATTTTTTATTTTTATATCTAACTTCGGTCAAAGATAAATTATGACAATTCAAACTCGTTTCGTTTCGCTTCGAGCAATGTGGACTCAGGCCCGCCCAATCAATATCGAAGGCTCTGTGCATTTTTATATTTCAATAAAAAGGCAACTTAAAACATTTTGAGGGAGTGAAAATAAAATCAACTACCTATTCTAATACCTCTTCCGTCATAATTTAATTTGTCCATTACTATTTACTTCAGAATATACTTGATTGAAATTATTTTTCATCAATTTATTTAAAAATTATGTTAAATTAAAAAATAAAAGTTATTTACTTAAAAATTATATAAAAAATTCTACGAATCAAGATATGATATGCCTATATTATTTTACTAAATTAATAAAAAAAAGAAAAAAATAAAATTTAATCATGTAAATAATAAACATAGAATTTAAATTAAGGAGGGAGTATAATGGAAGTAAAATAAAAAATGGGCCCCTTGTAATTGGGGGTCCTGTGCAATTGCACCTCAAGAACACCCTAATGGGCGGGCCTGTGTGGACTGAGCACATGTTGGTGTTGGGAACATAACTAGATTCATACCCGTGCGTTGCACGGAAGTAATTTATTTTAAAATACGGAGTGTATAGTATGAGAGTATAATGAAATAAATGTCTATATAAAAAAGTTAGATTTATATTAAAATATATAACAAAATTATTCATGTTGATTTCATGGAGTCTACAAACAATACTTAAAATAAAAGAGTATATAATAGAATTTTTTTAAAAGGAAAGAGATTTTGTGAGCTTGGATCATTACATAAAAATATTGAAGTGTATATCATAATAGAAAGTAAAGTAAATATCTTAGAAAAATACCCCGTAGTAATCTTAATAGATGTCCATTAAAATATCTTGTCTATTTTTGACTTGACGAATATGATAAAATGTTGCAAAATAAAATTAAAATACTCTCCTAATTGAAAAAAAATTTCACTCATCTTATTTATTTTCCAAAAACAAATAATGCACATATTGAGGCCATTTAAACATACATATCACTGAGAAACAAAACTATGCTAAGAGGTTTCAATAATTAATTCAATGACCCACCAAATTTAGCTACTATTTCGAATGTGACATTTACACTCTCTCTCATTCGAGAAATATGAAAGAAAAAGAAAAAATGAGATGAAAATCAACTTTAAAGGTTTGGTTAGAAATGAAAAACAAAAAAATGAAGACAAAAATATAGGTCAAATATTAAAGGTTTTTTATTAACTTTAATTTAAAGATTTGTTTCTTCTGATCAACGTACTTTTAAATTTTTTTTACATTATAGGTTAAATATTAAAAATAATTGTCTGAAGAAAAAGTCAAAACTAAAAAATACTTAAGGACGATGGTTGATCACCAATCACCATAAAACAAAACATGGTGATAATTAGAATCTTGGCTTAACTTGGACCACTTTTTGCCAAGTAATTAAAATGCCACTAACTTCGAGTATTTATTTTTGTCAAAAAATTCATTCTACCCATCCCTACCAATCAAATTTGGTTAACATCTAGAGGAGTTCGAAAACACCATTAAGCTATTTTTATTTTTAATAACATGCAACTTTGCTTATAATACTCCTTACCGTTTAATTTTTTTCTTGGGGTCTCCTCGCCTCTTTCAATATTTATGTACAGCGTAATATTATTTTAATTGTTCATTACTTTTTTTATGTTGTTAATTTTTTTTTCAAAGATGCTTTCATTTGGCATTTCTCAATGAAAGTATAATATTCTTATCACTTCTCATTATCTTTTATCTTGAAGAAACTTGTGAAAAATCAAAGAGTTCAATAATGACAATGTAGAGATCATAATGAGTTACATATGGGATAAATAAAAATAGTTTAGTGTATTTTAAAACTCTTGTTGGTTTTAATTAATATTAACCGGCTCTCATCAATAAAAATTAGGAGTTATATTTTTAATCTAAAAGCTAAATTAAAATTAAACAGTGAACTTTTTAAGTTGAATATAAAAGCAAAGTATATGAAATATTTTTTTTAATATTAAGTTATGATATATTTCTTATTATATTTTTTTTCTAATAATAAAGTAATTTCTTTTACTTATTTGAGTACTAATAATTTCAAACGTTTCTGAAAAGAAGGATACGGAATATAAATTAAAATTCATTTATTTTTCATCATTTTAAGTTGACATTAGAAAAAATCGGAGTCTCAGCCTCCAAACCCCCACCCTACCCATTATTAAAAGGGCGCCCTCAGTCAGATTATTCTTGGATCCGCCACTGCAGGGGAGATACAAAGGTTTGACCTTGTATATATTTTATATGGAGTTTTTCTAATAGAAAGTGGAACTAATTTCAACTTATATAGAGTAATAAAAATTTAAAATGTATTATATTCCTAATTTAAAAAATTGGTAATAATGTCATCTTATACTTTATCCGTCCCAATTTAAGTTTTCTATTTACTATTCAAATCGTCAAACTTTGATCACATTTTTTTTACTTGTTTTCGTAACACATTTGAAAAAAAGAATATAGTTTTGTCACCTCTTATTTTGTAGAATTTTTTAATATTTTTTTAAATATATAAATTTTATTTGTTAATTATTCCATACCAATTTTTAAATAAATTCAATTGAAATATTTTTAGTCTAACATCTCAAAAAATAATATGTGATTTAAATTGAGAGAGAAGAAATAAAATAAATTAAAAATGCAAAGTGGGTAATGGGATAAGCAAAGCGTCCCCAGGCCAATTAATGTGTGAATTAAATAACTACCATGGCATTAATAACTCTTGCATTTCTAATAAATCCACTGCCGTTGATTAATTAGCAATGGCGCGTCAATGGTGGCTATTGCATGACCTCTTAGGCGGGAAAAACTTTTGACAAATTTTTTTTTCTAATTTTTTTAAGCCAGATTTCTTTTGCTTTTGTATATAGTATAGATTCTCTTAATGGATACAAGTATGAAATACCATAGTTTGGTCCAAACCCGACCCATTGTCAAAAATATGAAATATCATAGTTTGGTCTAAACCCGACCCATTGTCGATGCTACTATTAATCAGTGTCATTAAACTCGGATCAGAACAGGCGGTCTGACAAGTCGAACCGCGATCCAGACACACAACCGGTCCGGTCCAAACTCCCAAAAACCCAGAAAACATAGGAAAACCGGATCAACCTAGAAAAATCCAAATTGACCCGTGACTCGTTCTCCTCGCCGGGTCGACATCCGGCCCGGATTTAAAATCATTGCTATTAATCATACGAAGTAAAAACAGTTGAGACAATTGGGCCCTTTATTCTTAGGCTAGAGGCCCCAATGAGTCTACTTGAACACGGTACATTTTGGTTCCAGAGTATAAGGAGCTCAAAGTTAAAGCCCATGGTTTCAGAATAGACACGTCTGGAATAAAATAGGCCCAATTAAATTTGGCCCGCCAACATATAAATCATTTGTAATGTGTACCAGCGTCGCGTTACTGTGGACTTGGCGTTAGGGTTTTAAAACTGGAAGGAGCACAGAGACTGGGGTTCAAGGATCTTCCCTCCCGAGCTCTGCAATAATGGCGTTTTGGGGTCAGTTTTTATTCATTTTAACATCAACTTTATATTGTTTTTATCCGAAGTGTTCTAACGAGATTGAAATTTTTGCATTGAAAACATTCGTCCAGGAATTAAACTGAAACCGGGAAAACCGTATGCGCTCGAACTCGAAGACGATCGAGGAAGGCTACATGTTTCGCAGGTTTGACTGAAAATCTATGGTTTCGATGAGTGCATGAATTTGCAGCGTGTTGTATGTTTGAAACTGGATATTCAGGATTTTATTTTGTTTTTTTCTCGAGCTTAAGTTTGTGCTGTGCTGTAATCGTGTTTACGAGCACTTCGTTGTAATATTTTGAAATATCTATTAGGTCGTTTCATGATAGAATTTGTGCGACATATGTAGTTTTTTTAAAATAACTCAGTTGCTTTATTGAGAAGAACATTGTATGCATTGGCATTCAAATTGCTCTGAATGACTGTAGTTTCTTTATTAAGACATGTCCAGTGGTTAAGGCTACAGCAACGTTTGAGAAATTGACTTCACGAAGTAATTTTACAATTTTTACCTCTAAAAAGGAGGTACCAGTGTAGTTTTACCTCAGAACTAAATTTGTTTTCTTGTAAAAGTTTGTTCATTTGTAGTAAAAACTGATATTCTGCTCCCTGAGATCTTTTCTTTATCTGACATAATAGAATTTCCAGAAAATCAATTTGTTACATGTTTTGCTTTCTTTTTCGCTTGTCTGAATTATTCAGGCAACACTAGGTGCTGGTTCATCTGAAAAAAAGACCACAGTTCAATGTGTGGTTGGAGACAAGGCGCCTATTTCATTGTGCTCTTTGTTTCCCGGAAGACTTGAGACGTGCCCTTTGAATATTGAGTTTGAGGAGGAAGAGGAGGTTACCTTGTCAGTTAAAGGCGGTCACCATGTTTACCTATCTGGTTTCTTTTTGGGTGAGTGTAAAGATTTTGAAGAAGATGGATATAGTTCTGAAGAGGATGACTTTGAAGATATTGGTTCAGATGTTTCTGTTTATGATTCTGAGGAGGATGACTTTGATGATTGTGATCTTGACTTGTACCCATCTTCACCGGTCCGAAACAGCGGTGTAAAAATTGAGGAAATTGTCGAGGATAAAAATATGTCTGTTGAGAATGACATCTCTAACCCACCCAAAAAGAAGAAAAATGGTCTTTCTGGAGGCCCAAAAAACTCAGAACAGCAGATAGTTGTCAAGAACAATAATAATGCCCCTATTCATGAAAGTGAAGATGAAGATGGATTTCCAATATCTACTTCACCTAAGGGGACCACTGATGCAGAAACAGACAATACAACAGCTGAAAAAGTCCAGAGTGTAAAAAGAAAAATTGATGCTGCTGGTGAAACCTCAAAATTTGAGAGGTGAGTTTTCCACTCAAATTTCTCTTGGAATATGTACTCTTTTGTTGTTGTTGCACTTATATGTACTGAATTAACTTTTATGTAAGCACAGATTTCTGCAAAAAAAACTCAGAGTTTTTTTTGAAGAACTCGGAGTTTTTTGTCTCGTATATAACCTGTTTATTGATTTTCGTGTTGCCTTGGAGTAGAGTTGAGGTCTGCTTACATATTGCTATCCTAGACCCTACTTCCTGGCGAGATATACTAAAAATGTTTGGTTAATTTGGAGTATTGGTTTTTTTTGTCAACTTGTGTCTAAACTTATCACTCCGTGCACTTGCATTAGTGTGTATTCCTTTGTCCAACACATGTTTTATGCAAAGTATCGATCTCCTTAGGTATATGTCATTTTTGTGCTTGGATACAGCGCTAAACAAACAAAAAAGAATAAGAAGGAAAATGTTCCAGTCAGAGAGGAAACTGGTTTAGAAAGCATGACGCCTTCTAATAATGCTGATGTTAATTCTAAGGAGCAAAGTCCATCGGCTGAAATGAAAAACAATGACAAGACAACTAATGAAAGGTGATTTATGTGACCCTTTGTATGTTCTGCTAAGTTTGCGTGACATCTAACAAAGTAGCTCCTGTGATATTATCTGATGAACTATTTATTTTACGCTGAAGATCTTCCTTAACATTGCTGAAGTTTTAGCTTTAGTTCCTCGTAAGTGTGGAGTTCCTAGTATCACAACTAATTCTATTAAAATGAACTCCCAGTGAGATGGATAAAAAGAAGAATAAAAAGAAGAAGAAGAAACAGGATACTGGAGCACTTATTGATGGACAGCAGAGTGGCGGGAAAGAAATTCACTCTTCTGTTGTGGAAGAGGAGAAGCCCACACCACTGAGGACCTATCCTAATGGATTGATCATAGAAGAGTTATCAATGGGTAAACCGGATGGGAAAAGAGCTATATCTGGAAAGAAGGTGATTGCTTTCTTTCCCAATTTTGTTTAGTAGTACTTGAACTCCTGTCAGTCCTTTCTTTGATGCTTTGATATAAGAAGAAAAACTAAATCTACATAATTTAGTACTCTGTCCCATAAAAATATTCTTTCTGAACTTATTTTTTTCTCCAAAATAAGCTGACTCTTATTATATGCAATGTTTTAATGTGATAAAAGCGTCACAAACAAGTTAAATTTAGTTAAAGCAAAACAATCTTCTAAGTATACCTGTAATTGACTGTTTCTAATTGTTTTACCCTATTAAAAATTTAAAGTTGTACATTATTGAAATGTCACTCTTAAGGGATGGTTGAACAAAATGAGCTATAACTCTTAGGTTCCCCTCCAGACCGATTGTACAGTTACTTGATAAGATGTAAATTGAGCTAAAATCTTGCTCTATCAAAAGTGAGATCTATCCCTTGTACGTGCACAGCTTTGTGTTGTGCATGGACGTCCCATATTGTTGTTCCTGGGAGTCGAATCTAGCCCCCCCCCCACACACACACACTCACACATACAATATGTGGGACAAGTATTTACCATGTAAAGTAAAACATGAACTGTGGAAGATTACAATAACAAAGAATGGAAAGAACATTTTTCATGACAGGATCAGGCCAAATAGTTGCTAAGATTTGACATACGATTGTTAAGAACTACAAAGAATATATTTGTTCCTCTCATCAATTTAACATATAAGTATATCAGATACTATGAATAGCATATTTTAATTACCAAAGTAACCCAGCACTCAGAGGGCATAAGTTTCGATATTTTTAACAACATAATATCTAGATTATCTAGCCTGAATGCAGCGTATGTCGTCTATACAGTTTAAATTTGTTTCAAACTTACATGTTCTTGTGCCACTTTTACAGGTTAAGGTCCATTACATTGGCAAGCTGCAGAAGAATGGGAAAATTTTTGACTCAAATGTTGGCAAAGCACCCTTTCAATTCCGTTTAGGTATCTAGTTTGTTTGTTTTGCTGATGAAATAATCAATAATGGAATTTTGTTACTATGAATTTCTACGTTGACTTTCCTTGCAGGGATTGGTCAAGTTATAAAGGGATGGGATGTTGGTGTATTAGGTACGGAGTAAATCTACTGTCATTTAGACACCAATCTTCTCCGTATTCACTTAGGTTAACACTAACACTGCTAATATCTGTATTTACTGATATATTCCCATTCATCAGGCATGCGTGTTGGAGATAAAAGAAGACTCACAATCCCTCCGGCTATGGGGTAATTTCCTTCCTCCACACATGATAACATAACTCTTTATTACCTACACCTAAGAATTATGTCACGCTCCCTAGGCACGGGAATGTGGTTTAAGAAACTAAAAATTTTGTGATTCAGATTTCTTGCAATGACAGAAATAGTATGAAACCCAGTTCTTTTCTTAAAAGAAAATGAGACATAATTTTGTGTTAAAGAGGAACGTAATTCTGGCACGGAAGGAGTGATATTCTAGCAAGATCAAAGCTATAATGGTGATGTTAGGCAAGGAGAAAGAGAGAGGGTTTAGCTGAATGGAACATTGTAGTTATTAGAAGTGTTTAGTAAAAAACAAAGGAGAGCTTTTTGGCCAAAAAATCTGGTTTACAAAAAGACTTGCCAAACTATTGTATAAAACTGAATTCAAAGTTGCTTTGCAAAGAGTTCGTTTTCAAGCCTTTTGGAACGTTCTACCTGAAAAGCAAACACAAACAACTAACACAAATAGTTATAACGAAAAGCTGGTTTCGAAAGAAGGCCATTGTCTCGCTTATATGAAAACTCCTCTTTATTTATTTATTTTTTGATTATTTAATTAATTAACTATTTTTGTCTCACTGCAGTTATGGGCAAAAAGGCGCTGGTCCATCGATACCGCCAAACTCATGGCTGGTTTTTGAAGTTGAGTTAGTTGACGTAAATTGATGGTCAACACATCATTCTGATTTTGGAAGATCAATCTCTTTTCTTACCAAACCAATTTTGCTGTGGTGATACAGAGACTCTATCTCTACTCCGTGATATATTTCAATTGTAATATGAAATCTTAAGAGTTTTGTGTCAGTTTAGAACCCTTTATATTCTTCTTAGTGGCATTATTATTGGCGTTTCATTTTAATTACCAAACCCTTTGTTGATTTTGATTGGTTTAAAGACATCACAGTTTAAATTACCAAACCATCTGTTGATTTGTTTTGGCTTTGTTCATTGGTCCAAAACTGGTTTCCATCTAAGACTTAAATCCCAAAAAAGTTTAGGCCTTAGTTTGGATGATTTGGGTCCAACAAAATTTGATTTTGGATTGTGCCTGAAAAAATTGGTCCGAAGTGGTTTGCCCTTAAAGACCTACTCCGGAAGTATATTGTATAGCAAATTAAAGTGAATATTATTTTCTGCTAAAAAAGTGAATATTATTTTTAATATTATAAATGATCCAACGCTTATAATTTATCGCGGTAAATATTAATCTAAACAAGACTACCATTATGGAATACCAAAATACGGAGTAATTTTTTAGAGATTTTTTTAAAAATATTTTTAGTCAAAATATACCAACAAATTTGCTTTATATTATAAGTAAATTCACAAATATTTATACTCCGTAATATTTATAGATACTCCGTATTTTGTTAGTAGTTGGGTTTGGTCCATGTATTCATGGCCTAACAAATTCATGCATTCACTTGGACCGGATCGAAACCACCTTACAATAGTAGAATTCAAAGACCTCAAAATTAGGATCTAAACTTATTCAGTCTTGGTTTGGTTTTGGACCGGTCAAATTTGGTCCATTTTTTAGTTTGGGTCGGACGATGAACAACACCCCTAAGTCCTGCCTAGGGAAGAAGTTCACTCCGAAACCAATTTATTAAAAGATGTTTGATAAATTTAAATAGTGCTAAAATTTTAAAACAAAAATGCCTATAAAAGACCTAATCTCTCAAAATAACGGATATTTCAATAAGCAATTTGTTCAACATAATGCCCATAAAAATGTTCTTCTACTACAGCCTAAGTGAATTTTTTATCTGTCAAATACAAGGCATGTATTTTCTCCACCTTTTTTTAAAATTAGGAGTACATAGTTTTTTCAACTTATAAGAAACCAGAAATAAATATGATGCATTTCTTCCCCTAATAAGTGATGATCTAAATCCCCTTACAAATCAATGAGACATTGAAGAATCACTACAAGAAACCAAATAAAGCCACACATCACAAATAATAAGCATTGGTCATTTAAAGTATTACACTACCAGCAGAAAAAGAAGAACTTTTCTCATAAGAGGAAAAATCCCCTCTGCTCAGAAAGTCTCATCTATGAAAGCCCTAAGGAAAAAACAGGCGACAGCAGCCAAACGCGCCTCGTGTGGCCCACAACAAAAGACTTCACGATCATATCCTCTCGCGCCTTCTGGATGGGGCCCATGGGAAACTGACAATATGTGTTACCTATGACATCATCAATCGGCAGACGGTCACGACGAACTACAGTGCATGTCGCTGTGGTGAAACACGGAGCCATTGGTGGGTGGGATGTACTGGTGAGTGCTTTGAAGAGCTGGTGATGGTGATGATGATGATGTATGGGGATGATGATGATGGTAATCATATATGTTGGGTTTCTTTGGAGGTTGTTTATGGTGCTCAAGATTATGTCCTGGAAGAAAGCTGCCAACAACCACCTGATATCAAATACCCAGAGATAAATTGAGCTATAATCTCAGTCAGACAAATAAAGAGTGCGAATAGGGTAAATGGGGGGTGGGGGTGGGGGGGGGAGAACCTGGATAGGAGCAGCAGCTACTAACACTCCAGCAAGTCCTCCACCAATGACACGGCCATCCGGGCCTGAGAGAGAGACACTCATTCCACCAGACCTGCTTTTTGTCGCCCCCATTTCACTTGGCGTGAATGATCCTGTTAGAGATAGGATTTCAAACCGCCCCTGCCCACCACCAAGATTCCATTGTTAACACAGCTGCTCTCTCACTAATGAGAAATGAATTCCCTGCCCTATGGTGTAAGCCAAGACACTTTTTGTACGGTTTTCATTGACAACATTTGTGGGTGTGTGAATTTTTCACCGACAACACTTGTCAGGGAAGAAGAATGCACACGCGGACAAGTGTTGTAAGCCAGGAGTGTCTTGGTGTACGCCATGGTGTAAGCCAGAGTGTACAGAAGGAATGTTTGGTTCTAAGAAGTGAGGATATAGGACTGGACCTCATAGGTTAAAGTGCCACCGGAAGAATTAGGCTGGCGAAGGGTGACGTTCGAAATTACACCATTCGCAGCCAGGACACAAATAGCTCTACACCCTTGTTGAGCAAACGAAATGATCTTCATCGTAACATCCTGCACCCACCCACACGGGAATTCTTCCCCTTAGACCCCAAGACTTGAAAGAAAGTAAGAAGTAAAGGAAGTTTAATGTGACATTTCGGTTTAGTCCATTATTTACCCAAATATAAAACATTGTCTTTAAAGGAAAAGAGAAATATTAAGACGCCTACCTCTCCAGCACTAACTGTGATAACATGGGGAGTAAAATTTCCTCCAACAGAATATGCCATCCGCTCCCCTAAACAAACACATGTCCATACATTAAAAAAATGTGTAGCAGAAACATATTTTCCATAGCGAGAACTGCAAAAAGACGGATCTCAATTTGGGTAATTTATGCCATTCAAACTGATCAGTGAGTAATTGAAGTTTTCCAAATTGGAAATTGCCAGTATTCTTTTAATGCTAATATGAGATTCTGGTGCATATTTGAAGCGTAAGCTTCATATTTCCTGTGCTTATCAAGGTTTACAACCAAAGCCATTTCCAAGAACTGTCAATGTTGGAATAATGCATACTTTGAAACTCCACCGGGACGACCATATAGTAACTATATGGATGGTCCAGCTTGATTTTGGGTAAAGCAAAAGTTACCCAAACCCAATATGGACCGTCCATGTGGCAATTCAACGGCGGAGTTTCTCCAAAAAACCCAAATCCCAAAATCTAGGAAATGAGGTGGCACAAACATACCCCATCTGCCTACTAGAATTTGCTAACCTTCAGTGTAATTTACACTTAAGGTTGGCAAATTCGAGGAAGACGGGGGAGTGTTTAATACCACCAAAATGATTCATTTCACTCATTGCAGACAAAAATATTTCCCCAATCCAGAAGCCATTTTGCAGAATACTACAAGAAGCATATTCCTTTGTCTCAGACATCATGTCACATCACTTGTCCAATTTTACCATCCATAATAGAGTTTCTTCACACTCTTTTATCTCTATATTCTACTCTATGAGGGGAGAATTATTAGGAAAAGACAGATTGTTTCTGTTTTGGCATCAGTTAACAAGACATCTTATCAGGGACCAAGATGACCTACAATCAATGTCTTACTACACTCAATTGTTAAGAACCAGAAATAGTGACACCCACCCACCCCACAACAAATTAGGTCTCTATTTCCATGAATCAAGATGCAGATTGCAGACAGTCTTTGTTATTTTGTGGTCCAGTCCCCATTTAGGTACTCCCAGACAAGCGAAAGAAAGCATATTAGACCTATAGAGCACAGATACAAAACAAATTATCTAGAAAAATGTGTTCTTTTTCGGATTTCTGCAAGCCAATACATTTTCCCAGAAATATTTTCATGTATTCGGCACCGGAAAATAAATATTTGCCCCCATTGTTCAAACTTTTGTGGAAAAATGTTTCAGCATTATAACATCAAGTTAACACCTTTAAGTTCAAGAAAACATTTTTCCCACCAAAAAATGTTTCTTGGACAACATTTTAAAAATTAAAATACTTTTCAGATACCAAACAGGGCCTCAGTGGACAAATAGATCTACTAGTGGTGTGTGACAGTGGTGGGGTGGGTGGGTGTGTGGGGAGGGGGTGGGGGGGTGTTCCTTGCCTGGGTTTTCAAATTCCAGCTTATGTTTCTTCTTTGAGTAACCAGTGGGGCGATTAGTACTCTGTTTCCAAGCAGAATAATCGCCAGAAAGAGGAATCGAAGCAGAAATGGGCATTGGGG